CAGCTGCATGACTCCTAAACCATAATTTCTAATCTTGTGACTAATGTTAGTCCTACAAAGGCAATCTAGTCCCCAGGCAAGAAGAAGGTCTGCTTTGGGAAAGAGCTGTTACCATTTTTGATTAAACTATAGACTAAGTTTCTCCCAAAGTTAGCTCAGTCTATACCCAGGAATGAACAAAGACAGGTTGGAGATGAGAAGCAAGACGGAGTCAGTTAAATTAGATCTCTTTCACTGTCTCAGTCATAATTTTTACAAAGGGAGTTTCAATCTCATGCTAAGTAAAATAAGTCATCACAAAAAGACAAGTACTGTATGATTCCTCTTAATAAAGAAGTTATTAAGAAATAATTTGTAGGCAGCTAGAAAAGGTATAAGTTCTCAGTGGAAATTTTCCTGTAATAAGAAGCAACCCCTGGAACCATTTCTTTTCTAATAGAAAAGGCAACTTAGAAAGCCAGACTGGCAAGCTTTGATATCTAAATGTTGGCTATTAGAAACTAGGTCCACCTAAGATGGCCAAAATGGCAATTCCCACCCTATTCTCCTTGTCACCACATGTGCCAGTGTGCAGCGTGATGGCCACCTCCAGATAACTCACGTGTGTGTTCAGGACATCACGGTGGCCCACATTTGCATGTTAAGGTGAAAGACCCACATTTTTCATGGGCTACATGAACGACACCCCTGGTCAAACCAATCCCCTGGGTCTTATGCAATAACCAACTACTTTTCAGCCACACACGGGGTTTCTCTTTGTTCAGAGCCCCTCTCCCTCTGTCTCTGTAGGAGGAAGCTGTTTTCTTCTTTCTTTTTTCTTGCCCATTAAACTATTCACTCATTAAAACCACTCCGCATGTCTCCATATCATTTATCCAATTAGTGCAAGACCAAGGACCCTGGTCATCTCCAGTCATTGGAGCTGTATCACTCTCACATGAGGTATCCAAAGTAGACATACAACGAATATGGAACAGAACTTAGAATGGGGGTTACCAGGGATTAGGAGCAGGAGGGAGAGTAGTAGTTATTTTTCAAGGGGTATACAGTTTCAGTTTTGCAAGATGAAAAAGTTCTAGAGATTTGTTACACAGCAATATGAACATAATTAATACTACTGATCTATATACTAAAAAGTGGTTAAGATAATGAATTATATATTTTATTTGACAATCTAAAATTTTTAAAATTAAACACTAAAAATTGATTTAAAGAGAATATTGCTTTATTTCTTGCATACCTGCCTTTACACAGAACACAACAAAAAGCCTTTTGCTCCTAGGTCAGTGGTTCTCAACATGGATGTGAGGGGGTTTTGTTCTCCCACCATCAAGAGACATTTGACAATATCTGATGATGTTTCTGGTTGTTACACACAGGGTGGGGTTGTGCTGGCATGGGCCAGGGAGTCGGCTGAGCATCCTACAGTGCCCAGGATAACCGCCTACCACAAACAATTACCCAGTCCGAAAGGGCATTGTAGCTTATTTGAGTAACATGTCCTAGATTATTAATCAGAATGTGTTATCGATATATCAGTGTTTTCCCTTCTAGTTAGGTTGGTAGAGTTCAGACTCTGGAAAAATAAAACTGAGAATGTAAAAGGCGGAATGAGTGTAAGCTGAAAGACAAGAGAGAGGGGTCTTGTTTGGAGCTCACTGAAGCCAAAATGGAAAAAAGGGAGGTTGGGGAGAGGAAGACAGTCAACAGACCACTTAGAGGCCATAATTCTGCAGGGTTCTGTGCTCAGCACCTTACATGTGTTGTCTCACATAATCCTTAAAATCAGAGATCATTTTAAATTAAATAGCACAGAAAGAAAAACAGAGTGGAGAGGGAGTCTTTGCTTGGGTAGCCAACTTTAACTGGTTTATTGGCACATTCCCCTAAAAAAAAAGGCAGTGTGATTGCTCCTGACGTGGCCGGCTCCTGCTTAATCAAAGCTCAGGAGGAGAGCTACATTATGCTGTGAAGGTGGCAAAGATGTAGAGCACCCATGGGAAAAACAGCTGGCACTCTGAGAAAGGGGAAGGGGCACCAGGAGCTCAGGTGAGCGAGGTTGGAGGTGTTATAAGTAAAACTTCAATGCTGCAAAAGAAATAGCACTTGAAGATAAATCCTCTCAGAAAGGCAGTTTACTTCTATAGAAGGGTGTGGCTCACAGATGTAGCAATGGTGGCTGAATGTTTGGACAAGGGGGGAAAGGGGTACTTATGCCTCATGGGGGTCGTCCCTACTGCTGTGTCATTCCCCTATAGGCTAGGGTTAGACTGCACAGGCTAGACTAATCCTGACTGGCTATTTTAAAGAGAGCAGGGGTCCAAGCTGGAATTGCTGGGTGGGTGTTTTGGCCGGAAGGACAATAACAGGCGGGTCAGAGCAGGTAACCAGGGGTGATCTAAGTCAAAGAAGGTGACCAGAGCAGGTGACCGGAGCACGTAACTGGGATACATCAGGACAGAGCCAGGGGCCGGGGGAACAGATTTGAACTATTGATTAGAGCCCGTGGAGAAGGTTGTTTACTGGAATTATAAGGAATTTAAACCTTAAAATAGAGAATTAAAGAATAAGAGAGCTGAACATACTGACATACTGATTCTCTGAAGAGAAACTTGGGGTTCACTATAACAGGTGATTCTGCCCCTCTCCCCAGGCTTTCTGGGTGAGTCCATTCCCCTTCTCAGACTCATGGTTAGAACTTAAGTCAATTACATTTCATAGTGTCTGTATCATTCAGACCCTGAGAATTAATCCAGCCTTTCTAAATGGCGCATCTTAAGTCTTTTCTTCAATAGAAGAGTTAATGTTTTGAATTAAGTGCAGAACCCATGGGCCTCTGACGTGACAGTGATGGTTCAGGTTGTGTTTCTGGGTTCATTCTGCTAGCTGCCCCAAGGAAAGAGGAAGGAAGCTTGCAGGGTGGGGCTGTGTAGTCACCTGGCTGACTCAGGTTTCCTTACCTGATACATTAAAGTCAGCTTCCAAAGAATGCCCAGCCGAGGGTTTGAAGTGGCACAGTGGCTCCGTCCTCACAAAACCAGCCTACGTGTGAGTTTGTCTAATTTGTTTAGGTCCTGCTAAATCTTTCCCATTTGTTCCTTCTCAAGCTTCACTACTTCCCTAGAGTAGCCCTACCTTTCCAGAGGGCAAAGATGTTGCCACAGAAAGACAGTAGCCAGAGGAGGAAGGTGACTTTAGGGTTGGTGGCAATTGGGCAATGAGTGTTGAAAGGCTGCTTTCAGCCTGCCAAGAGCTTGCTTGGGGAACTAGAAAAAGAAAAATAAATAAAATAAAAAACAAAATATATACATAAAAAACAAATTTTTAAGAAAGTTTTTTTTTCCTATATTCTTTACTACTATTATTAGCTATGTATAATTGAATGTTAATTGAAAGCAATATCATCATTATTGCTGTGATTATTATGGTTACTTATATATGATAGAATAGTTATTTATATTGTAACTACCAGCAATATTACTATTATTAGTTACATATTATTGAAAGCTTCAAAGCAGCATAGGCTTTTTATAAATATTTTTACTCATCTTCATGACAATTCTCCAGCGTTGGTATTGCTCCTCTATTTAACAGATTAGATAAATGAGGCTCTAAGACCAGACTGACCTAATAACAGGTAACTTGAACGTCTCAAAGTGGCAATTCACACGTAAATCTCCGTGACTCATGAATTCTCACAGTCCTAAGTTGGTTCTTTTCATGATTTTTCTGAAGTTGCTAGAAGTTTACATAAAGGAAGGGCCAGCACATTTCACAAATCTACAACCTGTAAGTATCACATCCTGTATAGCTGCGAACACTGGAATAAGGAAGGGCGGATGACTTTCAGAAGACGAAGGTATGTAGAAACGATTGGTGGGACTGTCTAAGAACCCAGACACTGTCCAGCTCCCTGCTGGGAGCTTCTGAGGACTCAGCTGGAACCAACGGGCACAGGTAGGTAATGCTGAAAGACTTTTCTCATCTCACCACTCCCTTGCTGTAACCTCGCTGGAGGAGTAATTTGACTCGAAACTCCTTGACAGCAGTTAAGAGACACCAGGGCATTTTGGAGTGGGCAAATGGAAGAAGCATCCAGTTTTAACTGTTTCTTCTGTATTCTAACTGCATGATCCTGGTGAGTCACTTACTTAAGGTTGTGTAATTAATGGGAGCAGAGCTCTTGTCTCTTCAAATGTTCTTAGGCCATTTGCAAACAGGGCAGTCTGTGGGCCAAGAATGGTGCAGTGAAAAGAGATCCAAGCTGAGCTCAGCAACAAATACCACGGCCAACTTTGTCCTTATGCTGACAAGTGGAGGATCCAGGACGCGAGCCCATGTGTTACGACTCCAAGACTTGTTTTCATACCACTGCATGCAGCTACTTCTCCAGCCTGAGTAAACTCAGACTTAGGCTGGCGTTGCCAGGTGGGAAAGTAGGAAGAGGTAGAATAATCTGGAGATTTATGCAGAGGCTTCACACTCAAGGAAAGCTGGGATCCAAGGCTGGCTTTAGAGCTTCCCAGCTGTGTGAACAGGGTTGAACAAGAAGGGTAACTGCAAATATTTCTTTAGCATTAGCTCTGTGCCATGCATATATGCAATGTGTATATTATTCACATTCATAACTTAAACTTTATTTTGCATTTTCTAATTTATTACATGTTTTTACTAACTTACTAACATGTAGAGCTGTCGTAAGGATTAAAACCACTGCATGATAAGAACTAAGAGCATGTCTAGTAAAATATGATAAATGTATCTGCAATGAATGCTAATAAATTGTGTTAGACAAAAATAGATAAGCAGAGTTCATTTATTAGTCTAAAACATTCATCAAATATATGTCAATATAACTGTTGTCAGTAAGACTAGGGGAAGGGAGATTGTTGCATATTGCAAATTTTGCGAGACCATTTGCCTCTGGATATTGGGACCTCTCAAGATTCATGCTGCTGCCATCCTGTGATATATTTATTATCTATAATGGACTGTATCAAACATTATGGAAAAATCCTCATGAAACCAAGGTTGTGTGGTTTTCACTGTTCCATACTATCAGTTTCTTTTTCTAACAGACAGGCCAAGTCTGGACTAATTGGCAGAAACTGACTTACCAGTTTTGCAGCCAGAATCTGAGATCTCTGTATTTTTTAAGAGTTAAATCTATTTTTTCTTCCATAGTTGGCAGTATCGTCATGACGTCACAACCTGTTCCCGATGAGACCATCATAGTGTCCCCATCAAACGTCAACAGCTTCTCCCAAGCAGAGAAACCTGAACCCACCAACCAGGGGCAGGATAGCCTGAAGAAGCGTCTACAGGCAAAAGTCAAAGTTATTGGGGTAAATCTCATTCAGAACATGCTGGAGGTGGGTTGGCAGAAGGGGTAAGGGATGTTGTATGTTTTGGTACTGGACATCCATTGTGAGTGTCAAGACCCTTAAGTTTTGCCAGAGGGACTTAAGGGTAGAAGCCACCTGGAGAAAGCTATCCCAGAACTTTTACACAAGAGGTTGTCTTAAAAGTATTTATTCCTGGCCAGGTGCAGTGGCTCATGCCTCTAATCCCAGCACTTTGGGAGGCCGAGGCAGGCAGATCAAGAGGTCAGGTGATCTGCCCGCCTTGGCCTCCCAAAGTGGTAGGGTTACAGGCATGAGCCAGTGCACCTGGCCTGGCAGGGTTACATTACAAATGCTGGTTTTAATCCTCAGTCCCCCTTTCTCTTTCCACAGATTATCCAGATCTTGTGTGGTATGAAGGTGTTAAGCTTGGGAATCATTTTGGCATCTGTTTCCTTCTCTCCAAATTTTACGCAAGTGATTTCTACGCTGCTGAAGTCTGCTTACCCATTCATAGGACCCTTGTGGGTGAGGAGAGTTTCTGAAGAGGGAAGCATGGGAGAAGAGGGGAGGAAGATGCCAATAGCTTAAACTCTCCACCTGCCACCTTGCTATGTTCTGCCTGCCAGGAGTGAGGAATCCATGGTGAAACTTGTTCTCCTGTGTGTATAGTTCAGGGAGGACTCAGTGGGGTAGGATGACAGGGGTTGCCTGATTTTGATCAATATCAGACTCAAATAAGCATTTCTTTTAAAGATCATCTTGTTTTTTACTTTATCATCTTGAGCTGTGATGAAGCTAGTGACAAAACATCCATAAATTAGGATAACGTTGGGAAGGAACTTTTTATATTAAAAAAAAAGAGCATCAGTGGAAGACATCATACACTCACAGAAAAACCACACAGATGCTTGCGGGGATTACGGAGGAAGGGAAACTTTCACTTGTGAGCTTTTTGAAAATGCTTTTACTGCATTGACTGATTCCCAGGGAAGGCTAAGCACTTGTCTATGTCCCAGTGATGGACTGGAAATTCCTCTGAAATAGCTGCAGGTCTGGGGTTTCAAAAGGACTTAGTAGTCCTTTTCTCAGAAAACTGCTTTCTCTTAGATTGAGGCTTTCTCATAATTAAGCTTCTCTTTCAGCTTCCTGAAACTCCATACCTGTTATTAGCTCCTTTTTTACATTTGTTTATTTGATGCATCAAGAAGCCCACCTTTTTGTCTATCTTGTCCATTTTTCCTCTTTTATTATCTAAAGTTTCATTTGGATTTGGATCTCAAAGGTTTGCCCAAATGACCTTTTTTCTGTGTCAAGATCCATGCAAGGCTATTACATTACACTATATTACATTTTCGTCATGATGTCTCAGGCTCCTTTAGACTTGCTCAGATTTTCTTTTTCCTTGAGGATTTCGATAGTTTGGGGTAGTACTGGATGAGATTTTCATAGAATGTTCCTAAATTGGGGTTTGTCTGATATTTTTCTGATGATTAGACTTGAGTGAATTTTTGGCTGATGATAACAGAGGTAAAGCACCATTTTCATCAAGTCACATCAAGGGTCATGCTACCAACTTATCGTCACTGATACACTTTACCTTGATCATGTGTTTGGGGTAGTGTTTTCCAGGTTTCTAAGCTGTAAAGTTACTACTTCTTCCTCTCCTCTTTCTATAATCCATTCTTTAAAAGCAAGTCACTAGGCACAGTTCACCTTTGACAGGGCATCTAGTTGATATTTTTAAGGACTTGGGATTTGTTTATATAGACAAATAATTAAATGCCTGGGTCACAAAAATCACAACTTTTCTTTGAACTTTGTCCCCTTTTCTTCTAACTGTCAAATAATTTTCTGTTCCTTAATGGCTCTAAATCTGCTAGATCATGAATACTCTAGAAGATGAAAATTTCTTTGATTGTGTAAACACAGCCTTGAAGGTTTTCTGCCATCCATTCTTGTCTTTCCTTCTGTTCTCATTGATCATTTTATCTTAAACTGGGGAGCCAGCAATGTAAGATCCACGTCTCTGACCTCCCTTATCTGTTAGCTTTTCCCATCTTTTATTTTCTTTTCAAGAAAACCTTGTAACAACATTTCTCTGCCCTTCCAAAACACTGAAGAGGAGGGAGTATTTCCAAACTCATTTTTTTGAGGCCAGTATTATCTTGATGTCAAAGGCAGACAAAAACATACAAGAAATCTCCAGGTCGATATCCCTAATGAACATTGATGCAAAAATCTTCAACAAGATACTGGCAAACTGAATTCAACCACATGTTAAAAGGATCACTCCCTATAATTAAGTGAGATTTATTCCAGGGATACAATCATGGCTCAACATACATAAATCAAATGTGATTAATCACATCGATAAAACGATGTATGAAAACCACATGATTCTCTCCATTTCTTTTATCTTTCCATACCATTGCTTTCATGTCGTTCTCTAAAGAACATCTTATACCAAAATTTTCTCATTTCATTAAGAAAACAAATGTTATTTCCTGGCTTTTAAGGTCTTCATTTTGTTTATTTTGATATATTTCTGCTACTTTTTTTTTCCTGTTGCTATCTAAACACTATATGAGCAAACAGGATAAATCTATGTCTTTAAATGGATCTTGCCTCATTGATGATTTGTTCCCCAGGGCTTTTCCCATGAGAGTTTTCTATAAACATTGTGATAGTGACATTGCAGTTTCTCTTTACATGGAAACTCACCTGATCATTTTCTCTTTTATCTTAGTTTGTCATCTCTGGCATTCTATCAATTGTCACAGAGAAAAGGTTAACCAAGTTTTTGGTGAGTATGAGAACTATAACCCACAACTCAGTGGTTCAAAATGAAACTTAGAACTCATTAGGGCCAGGCTTCCTACTTTGAAAAGCTGAAAACTCAGTTCCAGAGCAGTTAGTTGTTAGAGTTAGTAGCTGCACCTGGATCCTCTGTATCCTTGTTCAGAGCACATTTCTCCAATTATTTTACCCTACATCAGAGTCTGCATTCAGGGAATTATAGCATCTTTTCAGCCGGTATCCAAGGATCTATCACAGAAAAATGTTGCTTATTTATGATGCTCTTTTAGTGATAATTGGCCTTCAAGTTTAGGTTTTCAATGGCAAGGAAGCTGACAGTGTTATAAAGAGGTCTATTGGTTGGGGTTCAGGTGTTACAACCCTTGAAAAAAATGAGTCAACATGCTGCTTATGTGTGGTACTATGTCTCATTCTCTCATCTATCTCACCAGAAAGATTATACTTTTGTTTTGTTTGAGTATAAAGTTTTGCACCCTAAAAAGTTGTCCTTAGTCATTTGTATTGGCTAAGAAAAAAAAAAAAAAAAACAACAACTTTACCTGCCTTTATCTCCTATTCCAGCAAAAACTAGGGTTGAAAGTGGCAGGGAGAGAAAGGCTGGATTATAGGCAAGAAGTGTTTCTTGTCTGTAAAGTTTCATTAAATCTTCACTCAATCCTATAGCCCTCAAAGGGTTGATGTTGAAGATTATGTGAGAGAATGTCATATAATTTAATTGCACAGAAACTCAATTTGGTAACTGTGGCTACAAAAACTTCCAAAGCCATCAAGAAAAATCCCAATTCTTTTTTTCCCTCATTGGTATTTAGAGACTATTATTTGGAACCCTGAGTTACACTCCAAACTTTCTACGATGGAAATGAAATGTAACTTTCTGTAATGATGGAAATGTACGACAGTTGTACTGTACAATATGGCAGTCACATGTGGCTACTGATGATGTGAAATATAGATAATGCAACTTAATACAAATTTTACTTAATTTTACTTTAAATATAAATAGTCAGTGTGACTATTGGCAACAATACTGAGTATAGCCTGGCACAAGGGTAGTGTTCTCAGACTTCTAGGAGGAACTATCTTGGCCTCTTACCCCAGAGAACAATCCCACAGTGAATGGGCAGGAAGCTCAAGGATGCAGGATGTGGTCTCAGGGTGGGCTCAGACTCACCAGAGACATCCAGGCTTTAGTGAGTTCCCCTCTTGTCACACATTGTACCAGCCCTTTCTGAGATTGCAGAAGAGTGCCGTCTCAAGGTGAATCTAGCTTATTCTAAGAAATATATACTCTGGGCATCAGGACTACTACTGGCTACTAGGAGCCCCAGGAGTATACGCTTTAGTCATTATGTTGGGAAATCAGGGTCCCAAAGCATCAACTGGTGAGTTCCTAAAAGAGGAAGTGCCTATGTGGGATTAACTAGCACTCTACTGTACAGCTGTGGGGTGTGCCCTGGAGGCTGCCTACCTGTAACTGTAGCTTTCAGAATGCTCTTAGCTCAATTCTCTTTTCTGTGTGAGTTGGAGTAGAAAGGAAGTCACTCTGAGATCAGTTTATTTATTCCCTTTCCTTTATGAATGTAGAAATGAGAACCAGAGTGAGAAATAAAACCAAGGAACTGAGTACCCAAAGGAACAAGCTAAGTCAAGTCTATATTGTGACCTCAGTTTCTTGACATCCAATCCAGACCTTTTTCTTCTACCTCCCGTTGTCTACCACACATGACACCATCCTTGGGCCTGCACCTAGACGTCTGTCCACAGCCATCCCATGCTGCACTAAACGTGGCCAATCATATGCCTGTCCAGGTTCTAGGGCCTGCCTGAGACTCAGAACCATTCCTTCACACTCATGTTTCAGAGGTGTGCTTTTGAGAGAGGCAATGTGCACACAAGAGTGCACTATTAGGTTGGTGCAAACGTAATTGCAGTTTTGCCATTGAAAGTGGTGTCAAAAACAGAAATTACTTTTGCACCATGTTAATATACCATCCACCTTTTCTGTGTGGCTGATGCTTCCACAAGGGGTTTCTGAGTTGGCCAAGAGAGAAACTGCATCTGGTACATTGCCACCTTTGCTTTTGGTCACACTCATAGTAATTTTTCAGGCAAGCCTCATGGAGGCTCTACTACCAGTCCCAGAGAAAGAATTTAGGAGAGTAACATTTTCTACCACACCACTGATGTCCTGCTTAGGGGGAACCAGTTCATATATTCATTCATTAAGCCAAGATTTACCTTAGAGATTCAGAGATTTTTACTGGACACTGAAGAGGCATAGAGCAATGAATGATCATTCCTAGACTTCCTGAGGGAGACAGATAATGGAATAACTTGCAATGTAACGGCAAAAAGGGGTAAGAGAGATTCGCAGATCACTGGGAATGATCCCTACCCAGCATTTCTCTTTCAGGTGCACAGCAGCCTGGCTGGAAGCATTCTGAGCACTCTGTCTGCTCTGGTGGATTTCAGTATCCTGTCTGTCAACCTGGCTGCATTAAATCCTGCCTCACTGCAGTGTGAGTTGGACAAAAAGAATGTACCAAATATACCAAGCAGATGTTTTCTTTATTATGATTATGAATCACCTTATACCATGGACTGCTGCTATAGAGACAAAGCCAGTCTGGCTGTAAGTATTTTATAGATGGGATGTTCCAATTTTATGGGGCTTCTGAAAGCTTTGGTTTCTTATTATTCCTTCCTTTGAAAATCTCTCTGCTAATTCTGGTTTTGGCATATGGAGGAAGGCCAGGGTTATATATTTATCAAAGTGGGACTACATGGATGAAATCAAGGGGATTACATACTAACAGAGTGGAATTGAAAATGTCAAATCAGGTTGATGATGAAAAACCAAAGCATATTTTGTAGAATTTATTCATTATCAAACTAATTTTGGAGAGGCATAAATTATGAGTTTGTCAAACTGAGAATGTTGGTACGTAGAGTGGTGAATTCAGATTGGCAAACAGGGCAGAAAGACTCAGGTGACCAGAAAGTGCCAACAAAGAAACCTGGTATGTGTGTGTGGCAGGTGGCCAGTTTCGTCTAAAAAAACATCAGACTAAAGACTAGGAAATAGAGAATAGGAAGTAGGGGATTAGACGGTAAGGGCTGCTCCTTCTAATGATCACAATAATGAATAATACGAATCAGGTGAGACGGCAACATTATTTTGTTCTAACTGGAGTGTGATATATGAAATCAGGAGAAAAGAAATATAGGGAATTAGTGCAACTGAGAATGATTGCAGGAGAATTTTCTCTCTTTGGAAGAAGAAAAACAATGAAGTTTGGCTAACAGAAATAATATATGTCTGAAGTTGAAAGATTAAGGGGCATGTGCATGGTCAGCAACACATTGAAAGGAAAACAGGCAACATGAGTAAAGCAGTTGCAGAATATTTATTGTCCTTCAATCATAAAAATAAGATCAGCCAAGAACTCAGTGGGAAGACGGACAGATAGAAAGATCTGGTCAAAGCCATGCTTGCACAGCACTCATTATAAAGTGGACCTTGCTCCCAGGGTAATGGTATAATGAGGAAAAAGTACAAGCAAATGAGGCTGACAGTAACTGGTACAAAGTAACACCTGGCACAGCCAATTCCACCTTGAAAAAAATTCTGGAGAGAAATTTGGGAGTGATAAAGCATAAATTCATGATGGGATTATTTTACATTAGAAATAAGAGAGAGTCTGTTGAGCTTGCTTGCTGGAGCTATTTCTAGATAATGGGCACAAGGTGTATCTTCTCTTCAATTGTGTGTAAATACCACAAAACAAAAGTTCATGTGATCAAATTATCTACCTTTATTATCAGATGGCCAGTTCTGCACGAAGATTGTCTCAGGACAGAAATGGTAGAACCCATCCTTTTGAATTGGTGTTGATGATTAGCAATTCTGACAGTTTACTACCTTCATTGTTTTTTCCAAGCCTTAAAGCCACCAAAGAAAACAAAAATAAAAATGTAAACAACAACAACTAAAGCCACCAAAGAAAACAAAAATAAAAACGTAAACAACAACAACTAAAGCCACCAAAGAAAACAAAAATAAAAACGTAAACAACAACAAAAACAACAAAAATATAACATATCCAGAGGGGTTCAGATACGTAGACAGGGATGTCAGTACTGAATTTTACAAAGGGCTTATGCAGCCAAAACCTCCTTGATCCTCACAAATCTCTCAGAAAGAAACGTTAGTCTGTATATTTGATACACGAGGAAACAGGAGCTAGAGAAAGAGAGAGACTTGCCCAGGCTTACACAGCTACTAAGCAGTAAAGGTGAGACTAGAATGGAGCTGCTGATTCTCAGTCCTGGGAGTTATGGCACCACTCTGCTTTCTTACTGAGTGAATAATGTCGTTAGAACTATTGATGTCTCAAAGAATTAAGAAACAATTGTACGAAGTGTATTAGTTGATTTAGTTACTACTCATCTTCCCTTCTCCTCTCAAAGAAATGAATGAGTGAAAGGGTTGAATTTAGATAATTGTGAGGTGTGGGAGGGGCAGTTTTGTTTTCCTGACGGTGTCCTTACTTCATCTCTAATGGTTGAGGTGGTCTTCATCTTTATGGTCACCTCTCAACCAGGCGTGAAGGCTTCAGCTGACCCAGGTGCCACCAATTTTTTATTTCTTGACTTTCAAGGAACTCTGTCTCTGATGTTGATTTGTACTGCAGTGGAGTTCTGCCTGGCTGTGCTCACTGCTGTGCTGCGGTGGATACAGACTCAGTCTGACTTCCCCGGGGTGAGTGTGCTGGCTGGCCTCGCTTAATCTTGCCTCGTGCGTCTTATCTCTGTACTGTGTTGAGTATGTTGTCAAGAGTGGTAGAAGGAAACATCAGCCAGTTATGAGATACACGTGGGAGGTCATCATGGCGATGGAAGACTGAGAGGAAAGGCAGGTGGCAGTTGAGTAGCTGACAAGCTGAGAGTTCACTGGATATGAAAATAGTTAAACATGAGAAATCAACTGGCCCCATCTTCCCATTTTGTCAATGGAGGGAATGAGACTCTGGGAAGTCAAATGACTTGCCTGGCTTGCCTGCCATTATGCTATGAGTTCGTGCCTGTGCTGAGGACACTAGAACCCAGCTTGCCTCCCTCCTAAGCAGAAACAATTTCTGCCACAACCACTAGTCTCTTGATTAGTATTGACTCGGTAAAGGGCATTTACACATGTGACTAGATCCAGTGAATGTCTTATCCTCTGCTTTTCCTCCTGGTGATCTTAAAATTCTTTTTCCTCTTAAAAGATATATTAAACATGTATTGTTGAATCAAATTCCATAGGATACCACCCCTATGGACTCATGGCTTTATTTAACTGAATTTAAAAGCCTTAATTTACACAGAATTTCATTATAGAGAGTAGAATGAATACTAGGCTGATAAATTGCAATTATTTGAAGAAACTAGCGATCTGCTCTACTTATCTTGGATTAGCGAAGAATTCTATGTATACAATTGGAAAAAAAGTGGCATATATACATGTATCTTGAATCTGAGTGAAGTCTGAAGACCTAACGTAGTTTGTTTCTTCTAGAGTGTGCTTTTCCTGCCTCACAGTTACATTGATAAATCGGCGTGTCCTCAAAGATGACTCATGACCCTGGATATGAAGAACCATTGACTTCTTAGGAAGAAAGGGAGAAGTAGTAATTGGAAAGTTGATTCTAATGATAACATGGAAAACCTAACCATTATCAAAAAGCAAACTTTAGTTTCCTACATGTAAACATTTAAATTAATGAATATTTGTTTCAAAAAATTATTTCACTGTCATTTAAGGTATGTGTTCATTGAGGATCTCTTGATTTGCCTGATACTGACTTCAGCAAAAGCACAGGGCTGTTAATTACCATTTGCTAGACTAGCCAAATAGTCATAGACATATCCCAGAAAACTAGGCAGGATGATGGTTTAACGGATCACAATGAAGCAAAGGATAGAGCTTTTTCTTCTACCCCTTAGTTGTCAACAGGAGTTAACTGATTTGCTGTGGTGCGTAGACTCCACAGGTGCTAGTGATTTATCCCATGTATTTTACTCATTAGTGCATAAAGGCAAATCCCATAATGAAGTCTCAGGGGGTATGAAAGTAGCTGGCTTCAAAATAAAATCTCTGAGTGCATATTTCAATACTTATTTTGTTATTTTTTCCATTAAACTCAGAATAAGTCAACAATGACAGACATAAACCCAAATTTGAACTCCATTTTCTCCCCACCAGTATTCAAACAAAACTAATGAGTGAACAAATGCTAACCAGGAATATTTGCCTGTTAGGAAGAGAAAACCAGTTCATACTTATTTCCCTATTTCAAAATAAGAAAGACCAATTGTTTCAGTATAAATGTTAAGCCTCACCTTGCCCATACACATGCGCGCACACACACAAACACACACAGGTGTGAAAAAGTGTTTCAATTTTACATGAACTTCACTTCTTTGGAAGATCTGGTCATGTTTCCCTTGCTCTGACCCTCTGTAGAAGAGGTCATACTCACTGTATCAGATATCCTGATACTCAAGACACTTCCTTTGTTCTTTTTTTTTTCCAGTCTCAAACTGAACTGTCAGTTTCTTTGATTTTAGCTTTACCTTCAAACTCTGTTTCATTGTGTCTTCTCCCTGTCCTTTGTACCCAACCCTGACACACACCATTTATTTTATTTATTTACCTATTGTGGACATTCAACTTTTATTGATACTTACCGGATATCAGACACTATGCTCGATGCCAGGGCTTCCAAAGTGAATAACATATATGATTTGGCTTCAAGAAGTTTATAGTCAAATAAGGAAAACAGAGATGACAGTGAAATTAGGGATGTCTACAGGACATTAACTGTTATTTGAGCACAGAATAAAGAATAACATCTTCTGCTTAAAAGAATGTAGAGGATAAACAGGTATGTTTGTGTGTGTGTGTGTATGTGTGTGTGTGTGTGTGTGTGTGTGTGTGTGAGTGACAGAGAGAGAGAGAGAGAGAGAGAGAGAATGTCCTTCCTTTGAAAGTCCACCCCCCCACTATCAATCACATGGTGCCAGCTTCTGCCACAGGATGGGACCTTTGAAGCACTGTCATTTGTCTGGGGTAATACCACAGGTTCGTTGTCTCATGCCAAGAAAATTGAAGACGTGGACACACAAGGAGTAAGTTTAAGAACAGAAGTTTAACAGGTGAAAGAAAGAAGAGCACTTCCTCAAGCAGAGGAAGGGGTCCCGAATGGATTTCTGGGTTTGGGACAAGATGAGATTGGTTTTATAGATGAGTTTGAGTAGTTGTGTTTGATTTACCTTGGGTGTAGTGGATTGGTTGGACCAGGTGTGCTATTTACATAGTATGGGAAGTGCTGGCCATCCCACCCTAATCTTTCATTATGCAGATGGAGTCTCCACCTGGCCGGCATCATATTACCTGATTTTTTACTGCACACATGGTGAAAAGGGAAGAGAGAACCTCCATGTTGAATATACCTGGCTTCCATGTATCCCTTTTCTATTGGCACAGCTGCAGGCATTCAACTTTGCAAGCTTCTAGCTTGCATATCTATTCTTGCAGCTTGATTTTTCAGGCTGCTTTTCCTAGAAATTATTTGGGGGCTGCTTTTTAATAAAAGGAAAATATTACCAAGAACTCCCTTACCTTCGCTAACTGCTTAAATAATTTCTTTTTAACTCCTGTGTTATTCCTTCCCTCAGGAGTCGTAACCCTAACTGCTGTTAGAGGGTGTTGGACAAAGATTATTTCCGGCTACTTCCTGCTGAAAAAGGGCATAGAGTGGGGGACAGCAACAAGGGCTCCTCTTGAGATCTAAGGGTCCGCAGAAGAAAGGTGTCCACGTGTGGTTCTGTCTGAGGCACCATTTAAAGTTTGACTGCTTCTAGGCCAAAGAAATAAATTTTACAAGAAGGTTCAGAATATAGGGTTTGAATATGAGTATTAAGTTACCATTATTAGTGGGGGTACTATAGGGCATAACCATGACAGTAGAGTTTGATCCTGCTTAGCCACTTTAATGGAATACCCGTTTGCCTCCACCAGATGTCACTAACTTTACCAGAAGTGTTACTCACATTTTTCTTTGCCTAAGTGGCATTGAATTGGGTGGCTACAGTAACTTTAGTGTTAACTTTGGTTATAGTTTTCCAGCAATTATTAATCTTGTCAGAAAGATGATAATTAGGCAGAATATTACAGCAATTAGAATTTTCCAACCAGAATTCCACATTGCAGATGCCACAATGTTTAGCTGTATTGCAAATAGTAGAGCACGTATAACAATTCCCGCAAAGGTGGTGTAGTAGGTCATTTCCACCTAAGATTTTCACTCATCAAGATATAGAATTCTCTTTGGGGTTTTATGAAGTTACAAATGTAATCCCATGAATAAATAAAATCTACCTGCAAATATGCATTAAAAAGTTCTAATATCTGGCAGCGAATCTCAAGAGGAAAGGTAGAAATGACAAAAAGTATTTGGTGAGGTAAAGGTGTGACTGAGTAAGATGCGTAGCCCTTACTCATTTACTTATCTTTTATTAGTTTCAGTTTAAGATCTCCTATTTTTTTGTCATTGATATTCAGGACATTCCTCTGGGCTGTCAGGGGTTGCTCTCTAGCTTTCTAGGCTTTGACTGCAGTATGATGTATCCAGGAATTGATACCTGTAACTTTTACTACTGAGGGGGTTGAAAGAAGAATAGGGTAGAGCCCTTCCCAGCTTGGGGTCAGGGAGAGAGAGAGTTCATCCCATTTGTCACACACTCACAGGAAGGTAACTCAGGGTCATTCAGGACACTGCTCAACCTCAGGCCACTTGGTCAAAGGGCCAGGATGTGCAGGATGCAGGATTAGAGCCTAAGTTCCCTGGCTTCAAGATAAAGCATATTCCTTTCACGCATATCTACGGTAGATTGAATAAACTTAGAAATGAAGATGCCAAAGGAAGGAAGAGGGCACAAAAGGAGCTGTGATGGTGTAGTGAAATGCGCCACAGGGAGCATCTTACCAGTAGCATACACACATATTAATAATAACTTAAAACACTGGCATTTATTTGAACCTCCCTCTTTGTTTCATATGTTAAAAACACTTCATGGGGTCAGGGGCAGGGGCTCAAGCCTATAATCCCAGGATTTTGGGAGACCGAGGCAGGCAGATACCTGAGGTCAGGAGTTCAAGTCCAGCCTGGTAGAAATATAAAAAATAGCCAGTGTAGTGGCATGAGCCTATAGTTCTAGCTATTCAGGAGGCTGAGGCAGGAGAATTGCCTGAACCCAGGAGGCAGAGGTTGCAGTGAGCCAAGATTGCACCATTGCACTCCAGCCTGGGCAGAAGAGCAAAACTAACATTGAGTCTTCAAGACGTTTAGTGTTCCAAAAGCATCCATGTTCAAACAAGGCTTGTTGACCTCATCTCCCAGTGTTCCATGACCCCCCTGTGACATACTACTGGGTTACCAATGTTGAACCAACACTGGACTTGTTTGTTGACTTCAAATCACCCAATCAAGGCTACCACAGATGTAACACAGGATTTTTCTTGGCCTCTTTGCCAGCTGAAGACCTCCAGCCAGTGACCTCCACCCCTGCCCAGGCCTTGCTCAGGCCCAGGCTTACTGCAGGAGACACCCTGTATACTCAGCCTGGCAGGTCATATTTGTCTTGCACTCCAGTGCAGATCCCATGCCCACAGAAACTGTGTGCTAAGCCTTTGGTGGGAGGGAGTGTGTGAGTGAGCAAGTGTGGAGCTGTGCCAGCCATTCCAAGCACTGGCACAGGAGTGGGCTCCATGCAGGGCTTGCACTGGACCGGGCATGTCACAAGCAACTCCTGCAGTGGACTCTGGCATCCAGATGAGGGGAACGTGGTGGCACCCAGCAAGGGTGCCCATATCCCTGAAACCCCAGAGGGGGTGTTGCAACATCCTAATAGCTTTTTTAGTCCCCCCATCTGCAATCCAGTGAACAGTGGCATGTTAACATCTCTGTCAGTCCCATTGCCCCACTCCTGCCCATGGCTCCAGGGCTAGCTCCATCCTGCTGCTACTTCCTGTTGCATGGGGTGGCTGCCCTCCACTGGCAGAGGAAAGAGGGCCACAGTGTTACAGCCTTCTTTGTACCTACATTCAGTGAGTCCTGAATTCTTGTCCCACGTCCAAGAAGAATGAGGTTATGTTGACAATTGAAGGGCAAGGAGGGCGGAGAAGAATTTTATTAAGTGACAAAACAGCTCTCAGCAGAGAGCAGATAGAAGGACGGTCCCCCACCCGATGTCAGATGGTCTCTCTCACCCAGAGGTGGGCAGTTCCCATGTGGCTGAGTCCCAGGTTTTAATAGGCTCAGAATGGAGGAGTGCATGCTGATTAGTTTGTAAGTATGCAAAAAAGGCTAAGACAAAGGCACTTTTAAAAGTGGGCATGACAATGTAAAAGACCAATTGGGGAAGGGTAGGTACATGTAAAATAGGTGAAGGGTGGGGACCAATCAGAGGAAAGCATGTCAAATGGGAAGAGAGGTTCTCAATCCAGTCTCAGATTTATCTGATGCTTGTAGCTTGGCTTTCGGGCTTTGAACTCCCTTTGGATTGAAGGTGGGGTTTACTAGACAC